TCCAGCCACACATATAGCAGAGGATGGCCTTGTCAGGCATCAACAGGAGGAGAAGTCCTTGGTCCTGTGAAGGCTCAATGCCTCAGTGTATGGGAATGCCAGGGCGGGGAGGCAGGAGTGGGTGGGTGGGTAGGGAGCACCTTCATAGAAGCAGGGAGAGGGGGATGGAAAAGGGCGTTTCTGGAGAGGAAACCCAGAAAGGAGATAACATTTGAAATATAAATAAAATATCCAGTTAAAAAAAGATAATTCCAAAATATACAGTTGAGTGGCAATATCTATGAGTTCACATCAACCTCAATTTGGCTTGAAATTTGAGACTTAGATATGATACAAGTGCATACAAAAAACAAAAAACAAACAAAACAGGCCATGTAATTTAAAGTGACGGACCTGATGAAGTTAATTTTCATCTTGTAAGATTAGTTATGCATATAATATGAGGTTTCTTGGGGGTAGTTTACACTTGTCCAATTTTGTGTATATTTGTGGTTTTGTTTCTTTCTGTAACAAACTTTTTATACTTACTCTTAGGTTTACTGTGAGAACTTGATCAGATTTTAGTGGGTTTCTCATTTGCATACGCCTTACCATTTAATTCATAAATCATTGTCTTAATATATACTAGATCTTAAAGTGCCTATCATAGTTTTGAACATTTGCCTACCCTTTCCTTTCTCGTGACCTTTTCTTTTCTCATTTTAGTATATTAGGAATTTTGGAGGCTCGATCTAGCTAGAATTAAGTCACCAAGGACATGCTTTTGAAGGTCATAACAGACTGCAGGTCCTCTCCTCTTTCTGCTTCCTGCCTGAAATGTGATAAAAAGCTATGCATGGTTGCTCTTCCATAACATTCTAAGATGCCAAATCTTTCAAGTTCAGAGCCCATTTTAGAGAGACTGATTTAAGTTTGAACTAAGGTAAATTAATAGGCTGGTACCTAGCATTAGTTTCTAAGTTGCCCCACAAGAAAACCCAAGCCTAGCTCCAGTCTCTAGGCTAATCCCCAACAAGACCAGCATTTCCAGGTTACAACAAGACGAGTGTCTCCAGGTTATTGGCTCAACAAACCTGCACCCCAGGTTACAAGCCCACCCCCTGCCTAACGACCACCAATGCAGAGGGGAGCAGAAGTTAAGTTTATGATATGACTCCCAGCACCAGCCAGTTATGTTAAAGGCCACAGTAGCTCTCCAATTAGATGCTTGCACATTTATTCCCTGCTTGCTGCTTACTATAAAGCCTTGTCCTGATAGACATTCAGGGCTTTTCTACCACCAAAACCATCCTGTGTGATGGTGGTGCATGAAGGGGTGCGAGCTAGCTCTAATAGAATAAAGATCCTGCTGTAAGTTGCATCAGGTTGACTCCTGTCTATTTTGGGGGGACCATTAATATTTCCCTGGCACTAGAACTCTACCTAAGCTCATATGCCCCAGTGACCGTGACTGAATCCTCTGAAATCATCAGCCAGAATACATAATTCTTGAGCTGGAGAGGTGGGTCTGCAGTTAAGAGCAATTGGGAGTTCAGTTCCCACCACCCACGTTAGGCAACTCACAACTGCCTGTAATGGCAACTTCACAGAATCCTATACACACAAGTAGCAGAAGCTCATACAACCATACACTTGTACACGTGAATAATTTTTTTTTAAAAAATCATACTCATACATAAAAATTAAATTATCTGCAAATGGTAGATTAAAACCTGTGAAAAATTGGTTTCATTAAATATTCATATGTGAGACACATTCCTGGCTTTGGTCAAGCCTGATCTAAAAAGAAAAAGCAGAAAAAATCATGTTTTCATCCCTGCTCACTCTCATCATACATATATATTTGTGTTTATATGTGTATTATATATATTATATAATATCATGATATTACATAAAATGTTTTATTTATATTAAAAAAATCATACTCAAAATAAGCATTCATTAACTTTTTCTATTATGACTTCGGTCACACAAAAACAGAAACAGAAATTTACAAAAATTAAGCTACTTCAAACACCTCATAAATAATACAAGCCTTTTTTTTTTTTTTTTGGTTTCTAACCCCATCGTGTACTTCAACTGTTATGAGGATTAATGTTCCATACTCTGATGCAAATATATAGAAGCATTCATCCAACACCTTAGCGTTAGATGTTTGCAATTAAATAACCTTAACAAGCTACTCTGAGAATAACAATACTTTTGAATGTCTCTGTGACTTAGTGACAACCTCTAGCACACAGTGCTACAAGAGAGAAAGTAAGAAGTAAAATCATAGTGATTAACAGGAACTAACACATCTTAAAGGTGAATAGGTTGTTATATTTCAGTTTTTGTGAGTACCACTTTCAGGAGAAGACGGTGTGCTATGGCTATGGAGCATAGGAAAGTCTGTAGCGTTAATTATTTGCATTATTTGGGAGCGCTTGAGTTAGTAGAGCCATGCACCTTTGTATACACACCTACTACCCAAGACTCACTGTCCAAATAGTGACATTTTTTTCTAATTCTACTACATTGATAAAGCTGTATCAATAAGTGATAGAGAATTGGGTTTTGGAGAGTAACGTATGATTACTAAAATTGGAATTAGCAGTATATCTTTAAATAAACTTAATTGAAATTATATTGTAACACGAACAAAAATGCATTAATAAATTACAATAAAAATACAGAATAACTCACCCTCATATTTGTCATGGCATTGTTTGACTAGTCTGAACTGTAAGGTCCTTACAGCTCACGCATGTGCAATAAGCAACAGGGATTTCCCAGGTCCTGCCTCAGGCTCTTGTTCAGTCTGAGGAAGATGCCTTCTTGCTAATTGACTGATACTCAGCTTCTGACACTGTGTGCTGCCCTGGCACCTCTGTGATTCTGGATCTCTCATCATGGACTTCTCGTGTTCAAAAAAACTTCTGATTTGGCAGCTTCTCCAAATTTTTCCTTAGTATCTTAATCTATATTCACAGGAATATTGGAATCAGACTGCATTGAGATGCTCACTGAAAATGCCAACTTCATCCCTATGTATATAAAAAAATGCAGCTTAGTATTTTCAGGGACTACTCATTTGTAGGAGATATTTACAACACTAATTACAAAAAACAAACAAACAAACAAACAAATCTAATTAATACCTAACCCATTCTGTATCAGAGACTCAGGAGACATTCCTCGACATAAAACTCATGTCACCTGTCTCTCTCGATATCTGATTTTTCTGCCTCCTGTTTCCCACCCAGTTTCCTCTCTCCCTCTATCTCCCATGATTATTTTGTTCCCCTTCTAAGTGGGCTTCAAGTATGCACACTTGGGCCTTCCTTCTTGTTAAGCTTCCTATGGTCTGTGAATTATATCACGGGTATTCTGAACTTTTGGCTAATATCCACTTATTAGTGAATATGTACCATACATTAACCAAAATGCCCAACAGTGGGGAGATGGAATAAGAAGAGACCACCTCCAGCAGAAACATGGCCCCCAGTTAAGGCAAGGGACCACCCACCCATCTTCAAAATTTGTAACCCCGAATTTGTTCTTGCCAAAATGAGTCAGAGACTGAAAGAAAGGTCACCCAGTGACTGGCCCAACTTGGGACAAACTCCATGTGCACACACACAATCCTGATACTATTATTGAAGCCATATTGTGTGCGCAGACAGGAGCATGGCATGGCTGTCCTCTGAGAGGCCCTACCAGCAATTGGCTGAGACAAATGCACATACACAAAGCAAATCATTGGATTGAGGCTGGCGACCAATATGGAACAGTTAGAGGAAGGGCTGAAGGAGCTGAAGGTGATTGAAACATCATAGAAAGAATAACAGTGTCAACTAACCCAGACCCCTCAGAGCCCCCAGAAACTAAGCCAAAAACCAAGGAGTATACATGGGCTGGTCCGTGGCCGTGGGCACATGTGTAGCAGAAGACTGCCTTGTCTACCTCAGTGGGAAAGGATGCACTGAATTATGTGGAAACTCGATACCTCAGGGAAGAGGGATGCTGGTGGGGGTGAGGTGGAAGTGGGTGGGCAGGTGGGGAAGCACTATCTCAGAAGTGTAGATAGGAGGTGGGATAAAGTGAAAAACTTGAGGAGTGGGGAATGGTATGGGGGCAAGTTTTGGAATGTAAATAAAATAATTTAATAAAATACACTCATTTCACAAAGACAATACAAATCAAAAATAAAAAATGTAAAAAAATACAAGGAAAGAAAGAAAGAAAGAAAGAAAGAAAGAAAGAAAGAAAGAAAGAAAGAAAGAAAGAAAGAAAGAGAAGAAAGAA